TTAAGATTTTATTTATTTATTTGACAGAGAGACAGCGAAAGAGGGAACACAAGCAGGGGGAGTGGGAGAGGGAGAAGCAGGCTTCCCGCTGAGCAGGGAGCCCGATGCGGGGCTGGATCCCAGGACCCTGAGATCATGACCTAAGCCGAAGGCAGACGCTTAACGACTGAGCCACCCAGGCTCCCCTTGCATTATATTCTTATTGGGTAGTGATGCTCTAATCCCAGGAGACAGATAAAAAGATAAATAAGTAAATTATATAGTATGTTAAATGTGATAAATGCCAAGGAGAAAAAGAAAGCAGGGAACAGGGGATGTTAGGATTGAGGGGTACTGCAGTTTTAATTGGGATGGCCAGGGAAGGCCTCTCTGATGTGGTATTTGAATAAAGACCTGAGGAAGATGAAGGGAGTGAGCCATGGGAATGTTGAGAGGTAAAGCATTCCAGGCTGGGAGAAGAGCCAGTGCAAAGGCCCTGAGGCAGGAGTGTGCCTGTGTGTCTGTGGCATTGTGAGAAGCCAGTGTGGCTAGAGCCAAGTAAACAAGGGGGAGAAGGTGGTAGGTGAAGTAAGATTGGGGACCAAGAGGGCCAGACTGAGTCATGATGAGGACCTCAGCCTCTTAGATGTGAGCCCTAGGAAGGCATCAATCTGATCTCTGTCACTCAGGTTCCTCGACCACCTCCGGCCTACCCCGCAACTGCAGAACAATCTCATGCCTTAGTTATCAGTTCCTTCCTTCCCTGCAACCCGGCTTCCTTTATGATGGGGAGAGCAGCCCCATTCATTTACTCCTGCATTCACTCAACATTCCGTGAGGCTGTTCAGATGCCGGGCTCTGCCTGGAGTGAGTCTGGGGACCCCGAGATGCTACAGATGGGGCCCCACCTTGAGGAGCTCCTGGTCTGGGGGTGATCCAGCTCTAGTCTCAGCCGGCCACAACCCAGTGTGACCTGTGCGCTGTAATGGAGACACTGGGTGAGGCAGAATGTGCTAGACCCCTCCCTGCCCTCAAAGGGCCCACAAACCAGCAGCGAACAGCCCACAGCAATTTCAGGGCAGTCTAAGCACCAGTCAGGAAAAATGCCCTCCCTGTCCTTCCCTGGGCCCTGTTCCCGAAGAAGTCTGCCTCTATTCTCTCCCTCCACCTCAAACATCCGCACCAGTCACAGGAATACCTGAATAGTTGTCTGCCCCACCTCAATGTTTCTGCCTCTGCCCTCCAGGCCCCCCACCTCCAACACACCCATGGAGAAGTCCCTCCAAACACCCAGCTCCTCTTGAGGCATCCCCATATCTGGTCCCATCAGGCTCTTGGCTTTCTCTCAGAGCCTCTCCCACCTGGAAACTCGGCTCCAGACCACACATCCCACTTCCACCCAGACCCCTTACACAGGCCCCAGCACCAGCAGCCCTTGGTGCTCTCAGGTCTCAATCGGATGGTTCCTGCCCTCAAGCAGCAGGGTGTTCCCCCACACACACACACTCCCCAGGCTCCCAATTGCCAAGGCTAACCCCCGGCCTCCAATGTGGCCCTGATCCACCCAAAGCCAAGCCCCATCCCTGGGACTTTGCCCCTACCCTCACCCTACCCCACCCCACCCACTTCCCCCTCCAGCCTGTGGCCTTTGACCAGGAAAGGTTTGGGAGTTTTTGCAATCATCCAGTCCTACGCTTCCCCTGCCTAGAGCCAGGAGTCTGGGCCGCCAGTCCCTTCTCCCTTGGACCCATGAGCCCGGGGGCCCCCTCACCTCACAGCAGCTGGGCTAGAGGTGAGGATGATGGGACATCCAAACCCTGAGGACTGACATCAGCCCTGATGGGGAGGGCCTGCAGGCCTTGGCTCCAAATGGCTGAGCCCCTCCGACAGCCCCACCCTCCTTAGCCGGCAGGAACACCTCTGCCTGGGCTCATTACTGTCACCAGGGCAGGTGCTTTCACCTGCCCTGGGAGGGGCAGGGACTGCTCGGCTGGAAAAGGAAAAGGAGCCAGGGATCCGCCCCTGAGGCAGGGGCCGGGCCCTTGGCATCCAGCCCGCTGACCTCAGCCTAGTGCTAGTATTCAAGAGTCCCTTCGGTAGCCAGACCCGGAAATCTGGGCCCCCAGCTCCTCCTCCCTCAGACCCAGGGGTCCAGGCCCCCAACCCCCTCCTCCCTCAGACCCAGGAGTCAAGGCCCCCAGCCCCTCCTCCCGCAGACCCAGGAATCCGGCCCCCCAGCCCCTCCTTCCTCAAGACCGGGAGTCCGGGCCCCCAGACCCAGTGTCCTCGGCCCAGTGCCTTTGTCCCTCAAGACCTAGAAGTCCAGGCTCCCAGTGCTGTCCTCACTCAGACCTGGGATTCCTGGCCCCCAACTCTCCTCCTCAGATCCAGGAATCCGAGCGCCCAACCCCCATTTCCCCGAGACCCAAGAGCCCTGTGGCCGCCCCCTCAACTCGCGAATCCTCGGGGCTACCTGGGGCCGCCGGCTGGTGCGGGAATCGGGAAGATGGGGAGGGGGCACGGGAATCCCCGGGCCGATTGAGCTCTCAGGTGCGACTACCTCCGCGGTCCAGCGCGGGGCGGGGCCACGTCGCGTCACCCGGAGGGAGCCCGGCTCTGATGTCACCCAGCACCTGCCCGGCTCGGGGGAAGGGGGCGGGTCCTGGAGCTGCAAGGCCCTTCACTGGGGGATGGGGGGAAGCGGAGATGAGTCTGTTGCCAGGTGGGTCACAGCGGCGGCAGCGGCAGCACCAGGGGCCCCTCCTCCTCCTGGCAGGCAAAAATCAAGGACCCGCGCCGCTGAGAGGGCTGAGGACTCCGGGGTTCGAATCCCGCTCAAGCTTTCTGGGCCTCAGCTTCCCTCTGCGAGAATTGCGGCCAAAGAAATGAATAAGATAATGTGGGAGAAAAGGCTCCCAGCCCAAGCTTAAACAAGCAGTGCCTCACGACATCATTTGATCTTTCTGAGCCTCAGTTTCCCCAATCCCGGAAATGGGACAACACATTCCACAGAGAGTACTAGGAGTACCAAAGAAGACCACAAAGTGTTATTCTGGCCTCCGGAGCTTCAGTCTTCTCATGCGTGGAATGAGGACTAAGTAGTGGTAAGCGCACCTACTCTGTGCCGACGTTTTTCTACTCTTAGAACAGCTGAGTTTTAATTCATAGAATGATCTTAAAAACCAATGTGAGGGGCACCTGGGTGGCTCAGCTGTTAGGTATCTGCCTTCAGCTCAGGTCATGATCCCAGGGTCCTGGAGTCAAACGCCAGGTCTGGCTCCCTGCTGAACGGAGAGCTTGCTTCTCCTTCTCCCTCTGCTGCTCCCCCTGCTTGTGCTCTCTGTCTGTCTCTCTCTCTCTGTCAAAAAAAAAAAAACAACAACAACAATATGATAGGGACAATCAGCATCTCCGTTCGTCCAACGGAGAAAGTGAGGCACGGAGAGCGGAAGTAATGCGCTGAAGGTCACACGGTCAGTAAGAGGGAGAGCTGGGATTCAAGCTCACACCGTTTTCTGTCATTCTAAAGAGGAATTTGGGGTACTGGGTACTCAAAGGGATCAATTTCCTCTTCCTCGTTGTTTAACTCTCTCGAACCTGCTTCCCCATCTACACCATAGGACCACAGCCTTCTTTAGGGGACTACTGTGAGATTAAAAAGGTTAAGGGACCCAGCACACAGTTGATCTCCAAAGTGTTATTCGCAACCCTGTCTCCCTGTAGTCACTGCCTCTGTCCAGCCTCAGTTTTCCCCTCCCTGTAAAATGGGTACAATATAACCCACCTCGAGTTAATATAATTATTTAGCTGTAAAAATAAAAGCGCCAGAGTACATCATTAGTGCTCAAATATGTCTTTCCCTACCCTTTTGTCTCTGCCAGTCGTGACCCCTGGTCTGCGATTTTTACACGTGAGAACAGAGACACCTTATCTGGAGGCGGAGGACTGAAGGCGATGACTCAGGTATTAAAGCGTCCAAGGTCCCAAAGCGAGCCTCAGTTTCCCCGTCTGTGGAATAGGCCC